ACATTTCACTCAGATTGAAACGTCTGTCATCATTCTCGGATCTTTATGCTTGTGTGTGTGTCACACGGAGCTCAGTCCTGCGGATCATGATGTTCGCGACACCGAGGTCAAGGGTTCGACTCCCACTGAACGCATGAACTGATAACATGTATGAGTGGAACGCAATGCGATAAAAGTAACCCTGTGACGTGGCGACCCGGAGTATGGGGTAACCCTGTGACGTGGCGACCCAGAGTATGGGGTAACCCTGTGATGTGGCGACCCGGAGTATGGGGTAACCCTGTGACGTGGCATCACGGAGTATGGGGTAACCCTGTGAGGTGGCGACCCAGAGTATGGGGTAACCCTGTGATGTGGCGACCCGGAGTATGGGGTAACCCTGTGACGTGGCGACCCAGAGTATGGGGTAACCCTGTGACGTGGCATCACGGAGTATGGGGTAACCCTGTGAGGTGGCGACCCAGAGTATGGGGTAACCCTGTGATGTGGCGACCCGGAGTATGGGGTAACCCTGTGATGTGGCGACCCGGAGTATGGGGTAACCCTGTGACGTGGCATCACGGAGTATGGGGTAACCCTGTGAGGTGGCGACCCAGAGTATGGGGTAACCCTGTGACGTGGCGACCCAGAGTATGGGGTAACCCTGTGATGTGGCGACCCGGAGTATGGGGTAACCCTGTGACGTGGCGACCCGGAGTATGGGGTAACCCTGTGAGGTGGCGACCCAGAGTATGGGGTAACCCTGTGATGTGGCGACCCGGAGTATGGGGTAACCCTGTGATGTGGCGACCCGGAGTATGGGGTAACCCTGTGACGTGGCATCACGGAGTATGGGGTAACCCTGTGAGGTGGCGACCCAGAGTATGGGGTAACCCTGTGAGGTGGCGACCCAGAGTATGGGGTAACCCTGTGATGTGGCGACCCGGAGTATGGGGTAACCCTGTGACGTGGCGACCCGGAGTATGGGTAACCCTGTGACGTGGCGACCCAGAATATGGGGTAACCCTGTGACGTGGCGACCCAGAGTATGGGGTAACCCTGTGACGTGGCGACCCAGAGTATGGGGTAACCCTGTGACGTGGCGACCCAGAGTATGGGGTAACCCTGTGATGTGGCGACCCGGAGTATGGGGTAAGGAGTATGGGGTAACCCTGTGACTTGGCGACCCAGAGTATGGGGTAACCCTGTGATGTGGCGACCCGGAGTATGGGGTAACCCTGTGATGTGGCGACCCGGAGTATGGGGTAACCCTGTGACGTGGCATCACGGAGTATGGGGTAACCCTGTGAGGTGGCGACCCAGAGTATGGGGTAACCCTGTGAGGTGGCGACCCAGAGTATGGGGTAACCCTGTGATGTGGCGACCCGGAGTATGGGGTAACCCTGTGACGTGGCGACCCGGAGTATGGGGTAACCCTGTGACGTGGCGACCCAGAGTATGGGGTAACCCTGTGATGTGGCGACCCAGAGTATGGGGTAACCCTGTGACGTGGCGACCCAGAGTATGGGGTAACCCTGTGATGTGGCGACCCGGAGTATGGGGTAACCCTGTGACGTGGCGACCCGGAGTATGGGGTAACCCTGTGACGTGGCGACCCGGAGTATGGGGTAACCCTGTGACGTGGCGACAGAGTATGGGGTAACCCTGTGACGTGGCGACCCAGAGTATGGGGTAACCCTGTGATGTGGCGACCCGGAGTATGGGGTAACCCTGTGACGTGGCGACCCGGAGTATGGGGTACCGTGTGACGTGGCGACCCGGAGTATGGGGTAACCCTGTGACGTGGCGACCTGGAGTATAGGGTAACCCTGTGAGGTGGCGACCCAGAGTATGGGGTAACCCTGTGATGTGGCGACCCGGAGTATGGGGTAACCGTGTGACGTGGCGACCCAGAGTATGGGTAACCCTGTGACGTGGCGACCCAGAGTATGGGGTAACCCTGTGATGTGGCGACCCGGAGTATGGGGTAACCCTGTGATGTGGCGACCCGGAGTATGGGGTAACCTTGTGACTTGGCGACCCAGAGTATGGGGTAACCCTGTGATGTGGCGACCCGGAGTATGGGGTAACCCTGTGACGTGGCGACCCGGAGTATGGGGTAACCGTGTGACGTGGCGACCCGGAGTATGGGGTAACCCTGTGATGTGGCGACCCAGAGTATGGGGTAACCCTGTGATGTGGCGACCCGGAGTATGGGGTAACCCTGTGACGTGGCGACCCAGAGTATGGGGTTACCCTGTGACGTGGCGACCCAGAGTATGGGGTAACCCTGTGACGTGGCGACCCAGAGTATGGGGTAACCCTGTGACGTGGCATCACGGAGTATTGGGTAACCCTGTGACGTGGCGACCCAGAGTATGGGGTAACCCTGTGACGTGGCATCACGGAGTATGGGGTAACCCTGTGACGTGGCGACCCAGAGTATGGGGTAACCCTGTGACGTGGCGACCCAGAGTATGGGGTAACCCTGTGACGTGGCGACCCAGAGTATGGGATAACCCTGTGACGTGGCGACCCAGAGTATGGGGTAACCCTGTGACGTGGCGACCCAGAGTATGGGGTAACCCTGTGATGTGGCGACCCAGAGTATGGGGTAACCCTGTGACATGGCGACCCGGAGTATGGGGTAACCCTGTGACGTGGCGACCCGGAGTATGGGGTAACCCTGTGACGTGTGGACCCGGAATATGGGGTAACCCTGTGACGTGGCGACCCGGAGTATGGGGTAACCCTGTGATGTGTGGACCCGGAGTATGGGGTAACCCTGTGAGAACATGAGGGTCAATTAATCATTGTTTTAACGTTTTACTTGAAGCCTTTACATATAATGCAAAGTATTTTTAATGCATTAATTAACAAACAATTTCAGGCAATCTGTAAAGATTATAATGCATTTTTAACTTTTGGTTACAATTATGAAAAGATGCAATGCATTACAATGTACATTAGGATCGAATACCTCTATAATTCATAACACATAAAGGCTTTCAAACCAATCGCACACTTTCAAGTGACTCGGAAACACCTCCGTCTCTCTCTCTCTCTCCCTCTCCCTATCTCTCTCTCTCTCTCTCTCTCTCTCTCTCTCTCTCTCTCTCTCTCTCTCTCTCTCTCATCTCTCTCTCTCTCTCTCTCTCTCTCTCCCATAATTCCTCATGGTTTGATGTAGGTCACCTCAGAGCCCAACAGCTTGACCTTTGACCTGAGCGAGGCTCCTCCAGGTTTTCCTTCACGACTGTAATTAGCTGAGATTTATGAGCGCTGAACAGCATTTAGCCATATCTCTCTCTCTTAATCACCAAACATTTGTCCAGCATATTCTCCTACATGTCGTATAATGATACATATTTAATGAAAGCTGTGTCTCCTCATTACAGGAGCGGGGCGTGTCTTTCAGGAGGAGAGCGTGACAGAATAACAGAGATACTGCACATCTTTACATGTGTGTTTTCATATTTTATTTATTATTGTTTATGTTATGAACTCAAAATATGTTTAACCAATGAAAAGGTTTAACCAAAATCTGTCAAGACATTTCATCCTATTTATTTATTTATAATGGTTAGTTACATTATTTACCTAGGAAAATTATGACCTCAATATCATTACTTTTTGTAAATTATTCATTATGGTGATTCTACTTATAGATTCTCGTTCCTGTAATGCAGTTCAAACACAGTAAAACAAAGCATTATTTTTTGTTGCTTAAATTAGCATAAATTAAACATAATACAGACGGTACTATTGACATTACAGGAATGAGAATTTTCTCAAAAATGATGTCATAATTTTTCATAAGCAAAATACAATATAATAATAATAATAATTGTGATATAATATCATTGCAAGTTTAATAATATATAACTATAATATTGTTGCTGTTAATAATAATAATTGACGTTCTTGACGGTCTGCGTTGGGTCGGCCAGGAGCCGATCTCTCCTCGACACACACACACACACACACACACACACACACACACACACACACACACACACACACACACACACACACACACACACAGTGAGGTCGTCACGAGTGCATTAATCAGCCGGTTCTCTGTTTGCTGAAGATTCCTTACTGGAGGCCACCTAATTATTCACAATAATGCTTAATTAATATGCACAAAAGACGTGTGCTCCACAAAAATGTTGTTGATGATTTTTAATTTTCCAAATGATCTTCATCAGTGCGCTGTTAATTATTTGACCGTTTCAGGAAGCGACAGGCCTTTCACTGCTGTGCGAAACACAAGGACAGAATTGATTATTAATGCACGACAATAAACAGACGAAACAGACGAATGAAGCGCGCACCTTATCTGCGCTCGGCATTGTGGGAACGCTGTTCGTCTGAAAATATGCGGTTGCCAGATTTCTTCAAACCAGCGGCTCGACGGTGACGCGCTCATTAATATCTGGATGAGGACTCTGATTGGACGTTTCACTGAGATCTGACTCCGGGATCAGGGCGGTTTCCCAGAATCCCCGGCTTCCCTCTGAATCCTCATTCCTCACGTCTTTAACTGGGATTGTGAAGACTTCCGTCGAGTTCCCAGAATCCTCAGCAGGAACACAGCAAACACACATCGACACAAACATACTGATAAATATTAAACTCACAGCATATTAATCATGGTAGTTCGTTTGCATTAGTATATGATTGAAGTGAACAATGTTTAAATGTTAAAAAATAATTTCTCTACTTTGGATGAATGAAATTCTTCCTTAAATTAAGCCAGAAACATATTGAATATTGATTTATTAATAAGTTACAGAGATGAAAAAGTTCAGCATTGACTCATTTGTTCTATTCAGAAATTTTCCAGAGATTATTTGTCAGATTCAAATGTTTCAAACACAGTTTTTTTTTGGCAATATTGTTGACAACTGATAATCTTTATATATGAATGAAAAAGTAATATTTTTGGAGGTGAGGTTCCTGAAACCTGACAGATTCCTTCACCAGAGCGACGGAGGACGTGTTTATCTGAAGGCTCGATGTGGATCGTGTTGCTGGGTTTGCTCTCCTGCATCTTGGAGGCAGATGTTCTCTCGTATTTAAGGTCAGGATGAAGTCTCGCTCGGCTGAAGTGTGTGTGTGTGTGTGTGTGTGTGTGTGTGTGTGTGTGTGTGTGTGTGCAGGCCAGACCACAGGCCCGTAGATCCAGGACTCGCCGTGCCAAGGCTGGCGCTCTCCGGCCGGCAGTAATTTGCCTTGCAGGGATCACCACACTTTGATTAAAAAACATCGCTTCTGCTTTAATCCGTCCAGGCAAGCTGCTGAAATCTAGGTACGCAGAGACACTCAGGATCAAACCAGAGGACAGAAGTGTGTGTGTGTGTGTGTGTGCCGACGCGACCCACAGACCTGTTGCTTTCTTCAGGAAAATCAAAAACAGCATCTCTCAGCCACAGATCATGTATTATAGCAAATTGTTCAAATTTGCCCTCTTTGGGTGTGAGCAAAAAGGCGCCGTTTTTGTGTGTGTCCCTTTAAATGCAAATGAGCGTTAGCTCCGCCTCCGTCCAGAAGAGGGCGGAGCCTTCACACGAGCTTCAGAGACTCCGGCAATAACAACACAGGCCGATCTCACTGATCCAGAGTCAGGAGTAACAGCAGCGAGTGCAGCCTTACGGAGAGACTCAGGGAGAGCTTCACTTTTACACGTTTCTGAATGTTAGCGGAGACATTTCTGTAGTTGTTGTGGAGTTACACTGATCATCTCCTCATCATGTTGAACTCTTCCACAAGTGTCCACAGTTCCTGAGGTGTTTATAAGACAGCGCTGACATGTTCTGGTCAATAGTGTTCAGTGTCGTCTGTGCTCGACCACAGAACAGTTTCAGGCTTTGCTGGATCTTCTCCAGTGCGTTAGAACTGGTCTCTGTTGGCGCTCGCCGAACCCAATGTCGCAGGTGTGTGTGAACGTGCAGATTAAGGGCCGGGAATATTATAATAAGATCCTCTTCATACGGCAGAAGGAGTGAAATCTGATCGGCTTATTTTATAACATGCTCTCAGAGAAAGGCTCACCAGAACACAGTTAGGGCCCGTTCACATATCGCGTCTTTTGAGCGCTCAAGTTCATTATTTCAAATGGAGGCGCGCGGTTTGCGCGCTCATAATGGAAGCGACGCGGTCGCGGTGCGACGCGCTCGTTTTTTCCAGGCGCGTCCGCGCCGCATCGAGATAAAAACATCTCAACTTTTCAGAATGCCGCAAGTGCACCATAAGCGCACAGTAGGTCACGTGACAAGAACCAACCGGAGCGCAACCGCCCTAGCGTTTTGAAAAAAAAGAATGCGGCGCGCCCAGCGTTTTCTACGCGTTTTTAGGCGCGATATGTGAACGCAGCCTTACTGGGTTTCACTGTTCATGTGTTGTGTGTCGGCAAGAAGCGGCGATTAAAGCTCTCACACACGGAGAACGCAGATTCTCCTGATATATCCGCTTTAATGCTTTTTTAGCATCACACAATTTGAGTTGCAAATTATTAAATAGGCATATTATACCCTTTCTCAAAGACTTGAGTTGAAATTTTCCTCCTTGAATGTTGATTATTCTCCTCATATTCTCCATTGTTGCGGCTCCTCTCCTCCCAGTCTGTCAGTAACGCTCTGTTTACTTCCTGTCTCTATGAAGCCCCTCCTCCTGAAAAGCACACTGTGCTCTGATTGGTCGGCTGGAGCAGTGTGTTGTGATTGGTCGAGCGCTTCGAGTGTGTTTGGGAAATGTCCCGCCCCTTTCCATAACCGCCAGTTTAACACACTACTAACTAACTCAACCAGGCCCCGCCCCTTTATTCTGCGCATTAATTATTATAATGAGGAATATTGTGACGTGTTCGTTGATATAGAGGAGAACTGGAACATCAACATCACACTCACAGATGAACATGGGAAAGCAGAATCTGCTCTTCAATCGTTTAACAAATGCTCTGTCCGCCTGTTTTAATGCAAGAATGATTTATGTCCTTTATTTAGTCTTGAATTCTTGACTTATTTATACGCGTTCCAAATGTTATTTATTAAATGTTTTGAAGTTGAAAACCACCGGTTTTGCTATAAATGTGTTTTCAAGATCGCTGCCACTTCGCAAGTGTTCCCACATGGAAGCCAGGAAGAGAAAGAGAGATTTTAGCAAACATTCGTGAACTTCAGACTGTCAGAAGATTATGTTCTCGAGACACACACACACACACACACACATGAATATTCCCTGCCTGTTGTTGATTCAAACAGGTACATTTGGATGGAAACCTCGAGATGGATTTGAAAGTCATCAAATCATAAAACCAGTGCAGATGTGATGTTCTATCAAGCACAAAAATATATTTTGCAGTTATTCAGTAGCAATATTCAGGACTGGGATTTTCAATATTTTCCATTTCCTCTCTCTCTCTCTCTCTCTCTCTCTCTCTCTCTCTCTCTCTCTCTCTCTCTCTCTCTCTCTCTCTCTCTCTCTCTCTCTCTCTCTCTCTCTCTCTGAGAGAGAGAGAGAGTTCTTCTCAGCTCATTTTCAGATGGTGATTTGCCTTAACCAAAGCAAACTGAAAGAGTGTAAGTAAGTGATTATTGCATGGCTGACACTCGCGGCTCCCTGACGACTCTCTGTCCGGTCTCGCAGAAACACACACACACACACACACACACACACACACACACACACACACGCTCAGGCAACCGGAGGTGAAAGTGTGAGGTGATTTCCAGAGTGAAGTCTGTAGCCTGACTACATCAGACTTCGTGCTTCCGCTGTATTTCAGTTCTCTTCTGTACTCAGTCTGAGACAGCGACCTATCTCTGTTTCCCTCCGGCCTGAAAACAGCCGGCCAATCGGCGAACAGAGGGCGGGCTTGAGAGCGTGACGGAGACGCTGAGCGCCGAGTTTAGGACTGTATTTTAGGTCAGGGGAATCGGAAACGACCGCGGATATGGAGACGCGGGATGCAATTCACTCTGTTGTGGAGAATATTCCCGGCATTTGCAAACTGAAGCCCGAACAAGAAGAGTGTTTGTTAAACATTGTGAATGCAGGTGATGTTTAAGTTGGAGAGAGAGGTGATTGGCTTACAGGTAACCAATGATTTTATACTTCAGAGAAGCCCCCCCCCACACCTAATTAAGTCTGTCATTTAATGCATAATTATACGTCAGTGTATAATACATTATATGCATAATTTAAATAGATAAATTCTAGTGTTTTTTTAATTGGGGGGGGGGGGGGGGGAGGGTATAGAGTTTTTTTGGACAGATCAATAAAAAAAATGAATAATAACCTCATGACATTTCTGCTAAAAACATGTTTTGTGCCAACTGTGCTGCATTCAGAATGAATGATTCAGGGCTAAAAGTTCAATATCCTGTATTGTATTAATAGTAAGTTGTGACACACAGACCCGTATACTGTATAGACACAAAGAACATAAACATGAACATATTTGCACAATTGTTCTCGCACAGAAATATGTATAAATAACGTATATGTGTGTGTGTGGACAAATATAAATGAGGCAGAATTTCAGATCAATTTTGAGAATTTAGAAGACTTTTCAGATTAACAAAAAAAGTTATTCACGATTGTGTGTGTGTGTGTGTGTGTGTGTGCATGTGTGTGTGTTTCGAACCTGCCATTCTTAACAAAATCAGTAACGATGAACAATGTGATCAATGAAGGTTTAGAGAGAATTAAAGCAGCTTCAGCTTCAGCTCTTCTGCTCGACTATCTCTCTCTCTCTCTCTCTCTCTCTCTCTCTCTCTCTCTCTCTCTCTCTCTCTCTCTCTCTCTCTCTCTCCTGTCTTACATGCCCTTTATCAATCAGCCGATGCCACATTGACAAGTGCTAATTTAATAGAGACTGACCTGTCTGACAGAAACCCCACGGACACACAACACAAAGCCATTCATCAGCCTGGGCTCGACTGCAGCACTGTGTGTGAGTGAGTGAGCTAGTGAGTGAGTGTATGAGTGAGTGAGTGAGTGAGTGAGTGAGTGTATGAGTGAGCGAGTGAGTGAGTGAATGAGTGAGTGTGTGAGTGAGCGAGTGTGTGAGTGAGTGAGCAAGTGAGTGAGTGAGTGAGTGAGCTAGTGAGTGAGTGTATGAGTGAGCGAGTGAGTGAGTGAGTGAGTGAGTGAGCGAGTGAGTGAGTGTGTGATTGAGTGAGTGAGTGAGTGAGCTAGTGAGTGAGTGTATGAGTGAGCGAGTGAGTGAGTGAATGAGTGAGTGTGTGAGTGAGTGAGTGTGTGAGTGAGTGAGTGAGTGAGTGAGTGAGTGAGTGAGTGAGTGAGTGAGTGAGCTAGTGAGTGAGTGTATGAGTGAGCGAGTGAGTGAGTGAGTGAGTGAGTGAGTGAGCGAGTGAGTGAGTGTGTGATTGAGTGAGTGAGTGAGTGAGCGAGTGAGTGAGTGAATGAGTGAGTGTGTGAGTGAGTGAGTGAGCTAGTGAGTGAGTGTATGAGTGAGCGAGTGAGTGAGTGAATGAGTGAGTGTGTGAGTGAGTGAGTGAGCTAGTGAGTGAGTGTATGAGTGAGCGAGTGAGTGAGTGAATGAGTGAGTGTGTGAGTGAGTGAGTGAGTGAGTGAGTGAGTGAGTGAGTAAGCTAGTGAGTGAGTGTATGAGTGAGCGAGTGAGTGAGTGTGTGATTGAGTGAGTGAATGTAGATCAGGAGAAGTTGAGACGGACTATCTACTTCCTCTTAGTAGCACATCATATTCATAAAGGAACTGAGTTTATATGTGTTTTAATGTAGAGACACAGGAGCGTCTTCTCTCTGTCCTCACACACGTCTCTAAAGTGTGATGGATTCAAAGGGACATAAGCAAAGGGTTACGACCAGCACACATCGGATTGTCAGGACAGACTTACGGAAGCTTTGATCATGGACAACTACAGACTGAAGGAGTCAAAGCATTCTTCCTTTTGCCAGAGGCGATTTGGTACAGAGAGAGAGAGAGAGAGAGAGAGAGAGAGGCATGCGGAAACCCTCATGAGTGAAAAGAAGAGACGCTTCCACTGAAGGTCTGGAGAACAGAGGGATGATTCCCGTAAATCATCCCTCCACGGGA